AGAAAGCTTATGCAAAAAAAAGTTTTAATAATAAGAAAAATAAAATAAGAGGGTTTATGCATGAGACAGCTAAGCATATGAGAAGGGAGAACAAGGCTCAAATTGCCTCTCCAAGATAGGGTTTAGGGATATGGGAGGAAAGTGCCTTAAGGCATAAGGAAAAGTGATTAGAAGAAATGAGCGGTCTTGGTGTGTAATCAATCTCCAAAGCTCTTCACAGGACAATTTAGAAAATGGTAGCAGTAGCACTAGTGTGATCTGAGGGTAAAGCTTTGGACCCTCTATAATCAAAGAGGTTGCCCATCAGATACCTGTGCAGGCCCAAGTGAAGAATTAGTGGTTTCAACAAAAACAGTGTAGAAGTCCTTGAAAAATAACTTGACAATATTATTATTATGATCCACACTTTATAGGTGTTTATAGCAAAGCTAATGAGAGACTAATTATGTATTGCTGAGTGAGGTTTTTTTGTTTGTTTTGGCACCAGGGATTGAACCCAGGGCACTTAAGGTTGAGCCACATTCTTAGTCCTTTTTTGTATTTTACTTAAAGACCTTTCTCTAAGTTGGTCAAATGCCCCTGAGTTCAATCCCTGGTATCTCACTGAGTTGCTTAGGGTCTCGCTAAATTGCTGAAGCTGGTTTTGAACTCAGGATCCTCCTGCTTCAGCCTCCAGAGCCACTGAAATTACAGGCGTGCACCACTGCACCCAGCAAAATTAGTGAGTTTTAAAGTCAACTAAAAGTAAGTGAAGTGAGCACCTATTAAAGTTTCCCCTCATTTTCAATTATGACTACAACTTTATTCTTACAAGTTTTAATGGATTGGGGTTGTGGCTCAGTGATGGGATGCTTACCTCACCTTATGAGGCCCTGGGTTCCATCCCCATACCTCAAAAAAGAAACTTTCAATCATCAAATTGTTTAAGTGTAAGCATTATAGTACAGGAATAATCATTCCACAGCAACAGAATGTTTCTGCTAGTCATTATACTGCACGTTTTTGGGTTTTGGTGCTGGGAATTATAAGTGCACTACCATTTTTTTCATAATAAATGTATGCTGCTTCTTAAATCCTTGTGGCCCTCTTCATATTTATTCCACTGTCAGTGGTAATTACATAACACTTTCATTTATTGCTTTTCCATTCTTTTAATCAATCAAAATTCATAATTTAACTATATAAATGCCAGAAATTTCTTGAATAAAGGAAAATAAAAGCTTAGTTGGATTTATCTTAATATATAAAGCTGTCACACTGTTAGGTTTCTAATTATTCTGAATATGCAAATATCAAATAGATAAGACGTGGAAATAGCATCAAATTTTTTGAATTCATACTTTCCTAGTCTAACATGAGTCACTAGATGGCGTTCCACCCTCTCATGATAATGTACCTCTGATAGGGCTGGACTTGTTAGTGAAAATAAGTATACTATCACAAGAGTATATAGTTTGATTGATTGTTTTATACTGAACACTTGCTTGGTGCTCATCATTTGGAGAAGGGTTCTGAGGAAGGAACCCAGGGGCACTTTCTTTACCTCGAGCTACATCCTTAGACTTTAAAAAATATTTTTATACACACACACACACACACACACATTTTAGTCATCAATGGACCTTTATTTTATTTATTTATATGGGATGATGCTGAGAATCGAAACCAGCACCTCATTCATGCTAGGCAAGCGCTGTACCACTGAGCTATAACCCAGCCCCCCAACTGTCACTATGGCAAAAGGTGTGACTTATGCAGTTGAGGGGGAGAAATAAAGAATGTCCACGTGCTTCTGCCTTTGTTGACACTTTACTCTAATTTAAACAACTCAACACAATTTCACTCTATAGGTTCTTAATCAAGAAAATAACCATCCTTAATGCTTGGCCTTGCAATAGACATAATCAATTCACAGCAAACAATTCTAGATGAATTCTAAGCCCTGCAAACACACTTAATCATGACAGGCTCTTGACAGACATTCCCTCTGTGCACTAAGCTCAAGTGTCAGATCTAAAGTCTCAAGCCTTAGGCTCTAAGTCCAACAGATGCACACTCCCTAAGACTATGGTGATCAGGTCAGGAAGGCAGGCTTCTCCTGGGGTGGAGCTGACAGCCAGCTGAGGAGAGGGTCATAGGAGGAAGTTGTGGCTCCCGCCAGGGTCAAGATGTGGCTGGAGAGTTTGAGAGCAGTGAGGAAGATGCAGAGGATCATGCAGAGGAAGAGCTGGGATGTAAGTCCAGGTCCTCATCAGGCTCTCAGCATGAGGGCATCAGTGTCGGCTGGCTGAATGTCTGTTCATTGGCTCCACTATTTACACCAAATTTGGGGGCTTTTGATCCCCCCACTTTCAATCCTTATCAGCTGCCACCAAGTCTCTCAGTGTCCTCATTTACCCTGGGGTTAAAACATCTGGCCTGGTGGCCCCACCCTGATCTTTTCACCTTTCCCCCTTATCTGGGGGGAGGACAGAATGCCAGAGGCTTCACTCAGGGTTTATGAGGGTGGGGAGAAGGGACTGTTTGTGCCTGAGGGCCACACTGGAGGGTTCTGTTGGGCGAGCCTGGTGAGACTGCAGGTTTCAAACTGGAGTTTTAAAATGGAGTTGCTAGGCTCAGGCCCAAGGCCATCCTCACACCAACATCCTCAGACTTTTTAATTTTTTATTTTGTGACACGGTGTTCTTCTCTTATGAGAAACACAGTCCTCAAAGTTTACAGCAAGCCAGGAGGATAATAGCAACAGACAGGAGAGAAAAATCTAGCCATCTGTTTTTGCTTGTTATTCCATTGGAAGGCCTCCATTGATCTTATATTCAGACATTTTGTTTGCATAGGTTTTTTTTTTTTTTTTTTTTAAAGGGCTGGAAGATCGAGAGAAGTCCCCGTCAGATGGGGAACAGGGAGCCATACATACTTGGAATTCCCTCTTGCCTTCTATCTTCTCTCTGGATTAAGAGAACACTATCTTTCCTTTCTGTAGGCTCTCATAATAACAGCAATTAACATTTTAGGGGGGGCATATTATGTAATACTTTATGTTAATGTTTTACAGCTTTATGTTAATGATTCAATCCCACAATAAGTAGTAGGCTGTTACTGGCTGGATTTTGCCCTCTTCATTCAGATGCTGCGGTCCTGACTGTGGTAGATATCTCAGAAGGTGACTGAGTTTGGAGATTGGGCATTTAAAGAGGTAATTAAGTCAAAACAAGGGCATTAAGTGGCCCTAATCCAATATGACTGGGCCCTAATAAGAGATTAGAGTCAGGTGACACACATCCATCCGGCATCTCTAGCTACTAAAGAGGCTAAACCAAGAAAATTCTAAGTTTGAGCCCATTGTGGGTTATTTAGAGAGACTCTGTATGAAAAATGAAAAAAATAAAAAGGGCTGGGGATGCATCTCACTGGGGATGCAGGCAGAGTCCCTCTGGGTTCCATTTCCACTACCACAAGAACAGAATAAATAAGAGACTGGGATTCAGACAGGCATGGGGGAGAGACCATATGAGGACACAGGGAACTGAGTGCCGAGGAGAAAGGTGTGAACTGAAGTTGAAGAAACTGAATCTGTATTAAAGATCCTACAGACTGACCTTGGCTAACTAGAGCATCATGATTGTTGGACAAAGGGAATGGTGTAGATCTTGGCTCTCTGGCTTATATTTAGTCCCTTTTAGAAGCCATTTACTGTCACCCTCTGTGTCTAACCTAACATCCTCATGACTTCTAGATGAAACTCTTGCTCTAGATCATTAAACTTGACTCACCTCTAGCCTTCAGCAACCCCAAAGCTAAGAAATCAATAAAGATAACATCTGAGCCGGGCATGGTGGTGGACATCTGTAATCCCAGCCATCAGGGAAGCTGAGGCAGGAGGATCAGCTGGCTTTAGCAATTTAATAAGGCCCTAAGCAACTTGATGGGACTGTCTAAAAATAAAAAGGGCTGGGGATGTAGCTCAATGGTTATGTACCCCTGGGTTCAGTCCTGATACCAAAACAAAGCAAAAACAAAAAAACCACCTTCTGAGTTGAGGCATTGCACACCTGTAATCCCAGCTGCTTGGGAGGTTGAGGCAGAACAATTGTCTCAGCAACTTGGTGAGACCCTGCCACAAAATGAAAAATAACAAGGACTGGGGTTGTGGCTCAGTGATACAGCCCCACTGGATTCAATTCCCAGTATTGAAAATAAAATGACAACATCCAAATCCTATAGAAGGGAGCGGGGTGTGGTGGCACACAACTGTAATCCCAATGGTTAAGGAGGCTGAGACAGGAGAATTGCAAGTTCAAAGCCAGCCTCAGCAATTGTGAGGTGCTAAGAAACTCAGTAAGACACTGTCTCTAAATAAAATACAAAATAGGGTTGGGGATGTGACTCAGTGGTCGAGTGCCCCTGAGTTCAATCCCTGGTACTAAAAACAAAACAAAACAACAACAACAAAAAAAACCCCTAAATCCTATAGAAGGGATTTACCTGCCTTGCAGTAGCCTGCCTACTTGATGGCCTCACCCGTGTATTGTGTATTTTATAAACACATTTATTCATGAATTTTTTTTGTTCTGTAACTATAAAAGTTCAGGAAACCTCTTCCATGATGGAACATGTCATTCAGGGTAACTTGAATTTGTGCTCCTGGATCATGGTAACTTATATTTAGCTCAGAATACACTACTGTGTTATTTCCTTTGAAGCAGAGTTGTTATTTTGCATGGAAAAAAGCCTCAGGATTGATATTGTCCAAATTATATTGTTGTGTGCATGTACAAATATGTAACAACTCCCATTAATATGTACAACTACAATGCACCAGTAAAAAATGTGGAAAAAGAAAGTCAGAAGAAACCAACACGGGGACACCTTGGTATTGTGTGCATGCTATGATATTAACGTAGATCAAGCGTGTTTGGTGTTTCCACAATGTCAAGATTTATTGAACAACAGTAAATCCACAGGCCACACTACTTTCATGAGTGGCAGTTCATTGAATACTTGGGGGTCATCTGCTAAGTCGTAAGACAGATAATCACAGGTTCTTGTATTTCAATCTTAATTTCTAATATCTATTACACTCAGTCACAAATCACATGCCACACAATTTTATACATATATGGTTCAGGCGGCTAAACTGAGAGCAAAGGTAGAGAGCAGAGAGCTGCAAAGAGTCACTGTAGATGATCGGGAAAGATTAGGACCCAGCCAAAGAACTTGTCAAGGCCCAGAGCTGTCAAAGCATGGGGACTCATTCTAGGCCAAGGTCTGGATAGATGGCAGTTTCACTGTGTCAGCTTGGTATGCCAGCTTGGAGTGGGACTCATGTGGTCATCCCAGGCAGGAGGAACAGCACTCTCTTAAAGCCAGATGATAGATTCAGAGGTTCCTCACTTTGGCCATTTTCCTGGGTAAGACTTATGGTGAGTGACCAGATGACAGGGTCAAGGTGTCACTGTGTCCATTCTTAGGTGCTCCTCTTTTATGGGCCTCAATGAGGACATTGCATCCTTCACTGGTCTGGTGTGTTTGAAAACTTTGTAGGCCTAGTTTTTTTTCTGATATGAGTTTGATAAGCCCCCGCTTCCATGTACTTCTAATTAATTTGATAAGTTTATAGATGTGGGTTCTTTTTGGCATGGTTGATTTATTTATCACTTTGTGCCAGGCAGATGGTGGCTGTTTACTTGTACAAAGAAGACGCAGAGCCATGCCACCTCAGCACTTGAACTCACAATGGAGTAACTCATGGTAAACTACTGCTTAAAATTAAAATTCAATATTAACCAGTTTTCCTTTTTCTTTTTCTGATTTTCACTGTGTTATTCTTTCTGTAGGAATGATGTTTATTGAACTGTTTTAGGTTCACCAAATCTGAGCACCATCCACACCTGTAATCCCAGCCATTCGGGAGGCTGAGGCAGGAGGATCCCAAGTTCAAGGTCCGTCTCAGCAATTCAGCAACTTAGTGAGATCCTGTCTTAAAAAATAAAAGGGGCTTGCATGTGGCTCAGTGCTAAAGCACCCCCTGGGTTAAATGCCCAGTATCCCTAGGTTATATCCAACCTGATGTTAATCACAGTCAAAGCATTTTTAATTGCATATGTTATATTTTCATTTTGAATTTTCCATTAAGTTCTTTTATATTTATATTTTATATTTTCTTCTTATATTTCTTTCAGCCACTATTTATGTCTTTTCCTGCAGACACTGGAACAAATACATCTTTGCTGTTTCAAATACTTTGTCCATTAACTCCCAATGTCTGGGTCATTTGTGGGTCTCTTTCTGTTGACTTATCTTTCTGCTCCCTACATGTCATGGTTTTCCATTTTGTTGGAAATCTAATAATCTTATGATATACTGAACAAATTTTATGGAGGATAGATACAAAGGAAATCAAACCTGGGTACCTCATTGACAAACTGTTGAAAACCAAAGATAAAGAGAAAATTTTCAAAGCAACCAGGGAAAATGGATCCATTACAGCAGGGGAATTAGATAAGGACAGCTGATTTCTCACCTCAATGGAGGCTAGAAGACAACGAAACTGCAACCTTGAAGGGGTCAAGGAGAACAAGTCCACCTAGAATTCTGCATCCAGTGAACACATCTTTAAAAAATGAAGATGGGGGCTGGGGATGTGGCTCAAGCGGTAGCGCGCTCGCCTGGCATGCGTGAGGCCCGGGTTCGATCCTCAGCACCACATACAAACAAAAATGTTGTGTCCACCGAAAACTTAAAAATAAATAAATAAATAATGAAGATGAAGTAAAGAAACTTCTGAGTAAGTCAAAGTTGAATGGATTTGGCACCAGCAGACCCTCACCACAGGAAATTCTGCAGGCTGAAAGGAAGTGATAGCAGTTGGAAATTTAGTGGTAATCAAGGGAGGGAGAGAGAAAGGGAACACTGGGAGCGGTAAATAAGTATATGAATAATTATTTTCAAAGCCATCTATTTTCAGGGCCAGGGTTTGTGCTCAGTGGTAGAGCACTTGCCTAGCATGTGTGAGGCACTGTGTTCTATCCCTGGGACCACATAAAAATAAAATCAAGGTATTGTGTCCATCTACAACTAAAAAAATAATATTTTTTAAAAAGCCATCTATGTTCCTTCTTTTTAAAAAATTCTTCCCCCCGCCCGGCCCCGTCATGCCTGTAGCTCACTGATCTCGTGAGTAGTACAGTAGATGGCTAGTGCAGCCTGGCATGTCTGAGCCTTCAAAGTTCTAGTTCCATTGTCTTCTAGCTTCCAATGAGGCAAGAAATCAGCCATCATTCTTATTATTATTCCTCTGCTGTGATGTATCCATTTTCTCTGGTTGTTTTTAATATTTTCTCTTCATCTTTGGTTTCCAACAGTTTTGTGGTGGTGCACACCTACAAACCCAGCTACTCAGCAGGCTGAGGCAGGAGGATCACAAATTTGAGATCAGCCTGTGTAACACAGCAAGACCCTGTCTCAAAATTAAATAAAAAGGGCTGGAGTGCAGCTTGCTGGTATAGTGCTTGCCTAGCATGTGTGTGGCTCTGGGTTCATTCCCCAGTACTGCAAAAGCACTTAAAAAATTAAAAAAATAAAAAGGGCTGGGGATGTAGCTCAGTGGTAGACAACTGCTGGGTTCAGTCTCAATATCACAAGAAATTGAATCCTGGGCTCCACACATTAGGAGAGTGTTCTACCTCTGAACTATACCCCCAGCCCCCCAAATTCCTTAAACATCAATTGACTTCAAAATAAAATTAATAGAAATATCAGCTGGACTTTTTTTTTTTTTTTTAAACTCAGGGGTACTTGACCACTGAGTCACATCCCCATCCCTATTTTGTATTTTTTTTTAGAGACAGGGTCTCACTGAGTTGCTTAGCACCTTGCAGTTGCTGAGGCTGACTTTGATCCTCCTGCCTCAGCCTCCCAAAGGGCTGGGATTACGGGTGTGCACCACCGCACCTGGCATAAATTGGACTTTTAACACATGCATATACAAATATGTGCCAACAATAATATAAAGGGCCAGAGAGGTGTGAGTGGTAGTGTGCTGTTATGAAGATTTCACTTTTCCTCAAATTTGTCTTTTTGTTTGTTTGTTTTTTGGTACCCAGAATTAACCCAGGACACTCAACCACTGTGCTACATTTCCAGCCCTTTTTATTTTTTATTTTAAGACAGGGTCTTGCTAAGTTGTCCATGGTGACCTTGAACTTGTGATCCTCCTACCTCAGGCTTGCAAGACACTGGGATTCCAGGCAGGTACCCTCATGCCTCTCTTGATTTATTTTTTATCTTCCATTAAATTCCTATAAAAATACAAACAGAATTCTTGAAGCACTTATAAGCTAGTTCCGAAATTGTTATAGAAGATAAATGTCCAAGGATAGTTAAGACACGACAGGGATATTTAGGGTGGGAGGCCTGGCCCTCATGAGGAAAGAGCAGCATCTGTTTACAGATTGACACCAGAGAAGCCCAGTAGCGTAGGAAAAGACCCACATGGACATGAAAATCTGACATAAAACAGAACATTGTATGAGAACATTGTAAATACTGGGGAAAGGATAAGTAGCAACGAGTCAATTGGTTCCATATGTGTAAAGAATGAAATTGGATCCGTACCGTACCCAGATCCCACAAGCTAGTTCTCAATGACTAAAGACAGGAATGCGAAAGGCAGAACTTGAAAAAAAAAAAAAAAAAGAACACTTTAAGAGAAATGTCTGTAAGGTCCAGGGATAGGGAGGACCTCTTTAAACAAGACGGAAGAACATGCTAACCATATGTATTAGTCCAATTTTCATTACTGTGACCAAAATACCTGACAAGAACAACTTAGAAGAGGAAGAGTTTATTTTGGCTCATGGTTTCAAGGGTTTAGTCCATGTTTGGCCAAGTCCATTCTCGGGGCGCAGGTGAGGCAGAACGTCATGGCAGAAGATGCTGGCAGAGGACAGATATCACCTCATGGTAGCCAAGAAACAGAGAGAGAAGGAGGAGCTGGGGGACAAGATATAATCCCCAAGTGCCTGCGCTGTGACTCACCTCCTCCAGTCACACCCATCTACCTGGTCACCACCCGGTACATTAGGCATTTCACATAGTTAATCCATTAATCTAACCCATCCTGGAATCCACTGATGAGGTCCTAGATCTCAGAATCCTATCATTCACCTGTGAATATGTCTCATTAACACAGGAGCTTTTGAGGGACACCTCATCTCCAAACCATAACACCATAAAAAAGCAAAAAAAAATTGGACATTTTGTTGTATTAAAGATGTTTGTTCTTTGCCTGGCATTTGAAAGGCTCTGAGTTTGACCCCCAGCCCTGCAACAGCAACAGAACAAAAATGTTTGTTCCTCAAAATGTACCACAAAGAGAGTGCAAAGACGAGCTGCAGTCTGAGAGAAGATATTTGCAACAATTTATTACCATAATGAGAAAGTATTCATATTTACATTTTGTTTTTAAAGAAGAGACAACCCAATAGAAAAATGGGCAAAGGCTTGAACTGGCATTTTCCAGAACCTGTCAACACATGACAAGATGCTCATCCTCTCTAGCCACCTGGGAAACGCAAACTAAGAGCCTAAGTATCCGTTTATATCTATTAGATTTTTCAAAATTAAGAAGTGCAGTAATTCAAATTGTTGTTGTTGAAGCTGTGGATCAGTCAAAACTTTTTTTTTTTTTTTTGATCAGGGATTGAATCCAGGGGTACTTAACCACTGAGCCACATCCCCAGCCCTTTTTTTATATTTTATTTAGACACAGGGTCTCATTGAGTTGCTTAGGGCCTCACTAAATTGCTGAGGCTGGCTTCGACCTCATGATCCTCCTGCCCCAGCCTCCGGGGCCTCTGGGATTACAGGTGTGTGCCACTGCACTTGGCCCGAACTCTTATATAGCTAGAAGAAGAGTAAACTGCAATAAACGTTCTGGAAAACCATTTGGCATTACCAAATAAAATAAAAGATGTGCAAATCTTATGATACAGTATTTCCATTACAAACTCTTGCACATGTGTATTAAGAGACTTGTATAAAATATACATAGCATTATTTTTCCTATTGGCAAAAACAAAACAAAACAACAACAACAAAAAAAAAACCCACAAACCAAAAACCTAGAAATAATCTAAATACCATCACCAGGATGGTAGAAATATAAATTGTCATTTTAGGGGGTGGTGCTGGGGATCAAACCCAGAACTCCAGATACTCTCTTTCCCAGAGCTATATCATTTACTCCCTAAACTATATTTCTTTTTTCTTTTTTTTTTTGCCGGATACACTTACTTTTTTATTTTTATTTTAATATATACATGACAATAGAGTGTTTTTGACATGTTATGCATACATGGAATATAACTTATTCTAATTAAGATCCCATTCTTGTGGTTATAAATAACGTGGAATTTCACTGGTCATATATTCGTATGTGAACATAGTAAATTTATGTTTAATTCCTTCTTTCTTTCCTACCTTAAACTATATTTCAAAACAATATGAGTTGAAAAGAAAAAACAATAGAGTTACAAGTAATAGGATACTTGAAACTAGAAATACAAAACTGAAAATAAATACAAGTTGCAGAAGACTCATTATCAAAAGCTGGAAAACACTAGCAAAACTAAGCAATGTATTATTCGGGAAAGCATACACTTATGACAACATTATTCTTTCTAAGTGAGGAATGTTCAGGAATGAGGTTTCTTTGGGCAACAGGATGGAGGAAGGGCAGGAAAGGCCACAGAGGCAGGCTGTCCTACAGCATTGCGACGTGCTGGCTCTCCAGCCGGAGGGCGTTCAGAGTCACTTTAAAAAATGGTGCATTCACTGGGTTCGATTCTCAGCACCGCATATAAATAAATAAAATATAGGCCTGTTGACAACTAAAAAAATATTTTTAAAAAATGGTGCATTCATTCTTTGGAATTTTACAAATACAAAATATGGGAGAGCAGGACTCACTCCTAGGAAGAAAAGGCAGATTATCAACAAAAAATCTTCCTAGTTGGAATACAAAAAGCCAAGGGAGCAAAATTTTTCAAAGCATTGAAGGAAACGAACTTTGAAACTAGAATTTTTATCTCTAGCTATCCCGTCACTTAAAAAGTGGAATAAATATTTATTCACGGCCGAAAGTGTTGCCACATAAAGACCTTTGGAATCACTGCTAATGATAAATACAGAATAAGGAAATCACTTAATCCTGGAGGAAGCGGGGAGATACCTGGGGAGCGAAGGTGAACAGA